TCTAATATTTAATAATTATTTGTTCGTATTTTATGCGCTGCTATACAGTTCATCAGTTTTTTTTCTCTATATTTATTTAGGGATATTTGTTTGATCAACCACATTTTAACTTAAAATCTATACATTTACTATTACAGTGCAGGTTGCACATACTCAATGCAATATCCGAGGTGGGAACATGTAGAATGCCTTACGCAGTACCCATATTGTATTTTATTTTATATGTCCTTATAAATAATTCTATTGCCCCTCGGTTCCGCTGAAATTCCATTAAGTAAACTTTGTCAACAAATTGCTTGCAGTTGCGCGGAGGTTATAGGCATAGTACAATTAACTTACAGTAGGTAGTGCGCGTTCCGTACCGACAAATTTTGTTAAAAGTTATATATCAGTTCAATGAATGTATTAACATTAATATTTAAACAATATAGGTCTACCAAATTTAAAACGACATTTACAAAATTATTTCCTCTGCGGCAGCAACGCGCCGGGTACCAGCTAGTTATACATACATTTTAGATTTCTTCACTTCTTCTCCATATAAGCTTTAGCTTACTATGCCAAAGTTTATATTCCTCCGTGCGCGCAATATGCTTAAAAAGTTTATTAATACGTGAAGTATGTATTGAAATATATTTATCCAAACAATTCCTAGGAGCACTCCCCGTGGAAAATGCAACCGCCCTTCCTATAAAAATCCTTAACTTCGCAATAAAAAATGTTGAGGGTCATTTGTCGGGATAAAAACTATCCTATCTCTGAAGTTGGACCAAACTACACACAGTGTACAAAATTTCATTGAAATCAGTTCATTAGTTTAGGAGTTCATCGCGGACAAACAATGTGACATGTAATTTTTATACATATAATTGGGAAATGACTCTAATCCATTAGCCAAATTTCACGACCCCACATCGCGACTAAACTCCCGATACCATCCACACCATCTGGATGCCTGGCGGTCCAGCACTGTACGTTTCCAAGGAGTTTTCTTCCGCGTACGATCTCGTGGTGGAATAGTTTACCACTGGCGATTTTTCCGGACTGATACGACTTAGAGACCTGCAAGAAAAGAGCTTACTCCTTTTTAAAAGGCTGGCAACGCACCTGCAATTCCCCTGGTGTTGTAGTTGTTCATGGGCGGCGGTAGTCACCATCAGGTGAGCCGTATGCTAGTTTGCCCCATCTCCTATAAAAAAAATCTAAAAATGTCACAGCGCCTCCATATTTTTAACCCTTAGTTTATGTCTGTTAAAAATAAAGCCACAAGTACTCTTAGCTAACTCGTGTATTTTATTTTATTTTATTATGTCTGTTACAATTCATACGAGACGAGAGCCGTACATCGGTATACATATACAGACAGATGCATTTGCTAAGTCTAGTAGCGTATGCTTTCAGTTGACTTATGAGCATTCGGATTTGAGTGTATGACTACAAACCCGGTATTTACATTGAGATACATTTGGCTGGAATGCAACAAGTAAAATATTCCAAGTAAGATTAAACGTAGCAGTATCCGCAAGATATGAAAAATCAAATCTCATTGAGCTCTGAGAGGACTAGGATTGCTCCATCCAATTCCCATTCCCTTTACAGTCCGTTTGTATTGGAATAAGTACTGTTAAAAGTATTATGTCCAGGAAAATATTTTCTTTGAAAGCTTTATAGAAGAATCGATAAGCGAGTACGGAGAGGGAAACAGTGTGCTTTGTTACTTGTCGATTTGACCTCCATTATCATTTAATTCTTGTTATTGGAACTTTATATTGTTTTAATTTGCATAGTCTAGTACATCACAGACCAGAATGTAAGAAATATGACCTAAGCAAAAAATCGCAGTTTTCTTGACACTAATGAATTTCGGGAATCAGACAGTTTAGATCTGTTTCTGGAGTAAAACTCCACTTTTATAGTGTAAGACGACTAACGAATGTAGTTCGCGTGCTGGTAAGTGAATGTTGTGATATAGAAATACCCACATATAACCTGAATTAAAAATCCAAATGAAAATTAGTAGTCCTCATACTAAGACAGATTGCCTCGTTGCCATTAAAAAAGGGTCTTCGCTTCTCTACACTCACCATACGAACACAGCAGTATTAAGCAGCTACTTTTCGCTGGTAATCTAAGAGCATGGTACTTCCCCATTCTGACGACCCATTCGTGCTGCAACAAGTGGCTCGTTAGAAATATTGCAACGTTTGTTTGGCAAAAAATTACTGGGCAAACTTGGCAATAAATATCATATTTAGTGTAGTTTTTAAAATAGTGATAATATTTTTACAAATTTTTAATGATTTTGATAAATGTCCACGTTTAAAAAAACGAGGTATTTCTAAATATATATATAACAAGATCTTTACTTCCAAAGAAACTCCCTGGAAAATTAATTAAATATTACTAAGAATATGTAGGTACTGAAAAGATAGCTTATAAAGAGCGACTCAGATAGAAGCTATTAAACCTGCTTGCCAAACAAGCAAAAACACAAACAAAACAAAATGTTATTAGTTTCAAAGGACTAGATTAGTTTAATATTCAGAATAATTACTAGCAGTAATTCTCGTATGGAGTATTGCTTAGGGATCGCCACTGACAATGAAATATAATAATTTATTCTGCAGAAAAGAGCCACAAGTGTAATTCATAACCTTAAACACAACAAACAAACAAAAAAAAAATAATGTGCGCAGACAATATAATTCCATGGTTTTATACAAAAACAAAAACGGTTTTAATGATATTTTTTTAATTTTTTTTTATATGAAAGCGGGCAAACGAGCATGCGGATCACCTGATATAATAAGTGACTACCGCCGCCAATGAACAACTGCAACACCAAGTGATAAGCTTTTTTTAAAATAATTATGTTGTATTTACAAGTTGAAAAATAATTTTGAAAAGAAAGTCTCTCTTGTTTTCCTAGGTACCAGTTTCTCCTAGGATGCACGCTTATTATTATAAACGGTACAAAGTTAGGTAGCATTATGCCGATATTTTACACTGGCATCGCTGGTATGATGCCATAAAATAGTTTTTGGCTGTTTAGTAGCAATTTAGCCGATTTTGTAGATTCAATCGCTGCATTTTTTATAAGTAGTCTCACAGAATACCAGCGTTAAATAAATATTATTGTATCTCTTGACAGTCCGTAATTATCTCACAGGCTGAACAAGGAGCTCCCTCGGTGTGGGATTTAAACGAGGTAGAGCCTTGCTACAGCTATGTTATAGTTGCAGCATAAATAGGTCGGCTCGCCTCGGGAATGACGATGCTATCACAGAATACAAGCTGCTATTAGCTTAATTCTGCTGTGCTTCGTATGTATCGAATATGTCTTCGAGTGTAGAGAACCGGAAATCTATTTTATTGGGTAGGAATCATACTATCTTAGCCCTCACTGGTGACAAAGCGTTTTTGCATTTTTATTTTTAATGGAGTATTTAATTTGTGTCTATGGGCTACAGTGTCTACTAACCATCAGGTGGACAGTGTACTCATTTGTTACCCTTATTCTATAAAAAAGAAATTTTCAAAGTTGCAGGATGTTAAAGGTAGCGCTAACTATGTAGTTAATTGCTTTGTAAGAATATCCACTACCCCATCTTATCCCGTGGTTATCGGACGATGGTGGTCAACCCGCACGCCTAGCGTTCTATGTTCAGCGGTGAACTCTTGAAAACTTTTTTGATTCCCGGCGTTCCGGCATGGAGGCAGGTGATTGACGTTCCGACATCAAAATAAACCCGCAGTACCTTCAGCTTTTCAATTATGAATTTTGATTTAAACTGCCGACTTCCAGGAAATTAGAATTCCGCAGTCTGTGATCATAGCTTTTTTTTAGAATAATAGTGACAAACGAGCACATAATTTACATAGTTAGTGGACACAGTGGCCCAAAATATCTACATCCATCCTCGATTAAGAATCAAAATGCAGATGCGTTGTCACCCCTGAGGACTAAGATGAAATGCATCTTTTCACACTCACTGTACGAAACACAGCAGCATTAAGCTGATATTTTACGCTGGTATTCTATTAGAGCGTGGTTTTAACGTAGTAGAGCCATGCTGCCGCTGTATTAATTGTATAGTTGTACCACGAATGGGTCGATTCGACCGGGGTACGACCATGTTCTCACAGAATACCAATATAAAATAGCAGCTTAATACTGCTGTGTTTCTTATGGCGAGTGTAGAGAATTCGAGACACTTTTTACCAGAAAAGAGGCATTTCATCTTAGTCCTCACGGGTGACAACGCATCTGCATTTTGATTCGTAATCGAAGATAGATGTAGATGTCTATGGGCCACAGCAACCACTTACCATCAGGTGAACTGTGTGCTTGTTTGTCACCCTTATCCTATAAAAAATAGTTATAGCACGGCTCTACCACGTATATAAGGCAGCTATTTCGATTTTACAGACAGACACTTCAATTTTATTTATACGTGTATAGATAAAAGGAAACAACCCAATTGTTATTGGCAATTAATTTTATTTGATTATATAAAATATTTCAATATTTTACTCGTAAATCCAGTGCTTTATTAATGTTGCATATTGACAAAAAATAAAAAATGTGAGTTATTGATTATATAAAGTCAAATGAAAGGAAAACTAAATTTTAAAGTATGGATTTTCAAAATAGTTAATAAGGATTCATTACATAAATTATATTATAATTTTACAGCGCCAATGCTAAGTAACCAATCAACAAGACAAATATTTTATCTGACTAAACCTTGTAATAAAACTAAGTAAATATATATGTTACGACTAATTGGCGTATTACGGCAACAACTAAATTATATAGAAGTTTAACCAAACGAAATCGCTTGCACCTAGTTGTAGCTGTAGCAACGATTTACCTATTTACATATTAACTGTTTTTTATTTTTATATTTTCCAAGAAATTTATAATTCAAACTTCTTTATAACATTCAAATTAAAAAAAAAAACACTAAAATATTTCATATATAATGTACCCTATTTTTTCAAAGAAATGCGAATAGCAATGTGAAAATTCCAGTAAGAACAAAACTCTTCTTCGCAGTGCCGTATACTTCTTTCAGTGACAACCATTTACCTGCATTCCACGCGCAGTATCTTATTCCATTAAAATAATGATACACGAAAGGGGCTCCTAGTAATATCTTTATAATAACAATGGAAGGCCTCGAGAGATCCAAACTTTGTATTACGGACACATAGGTCTCCACGCCATTGGAAAGGAACAAAGTACCTGCAGAGAGCAGTAAAGCATAGGAGAGCACTATGACACCTGAAATTAAGATAAATTGGTATTTAGGTGGACCCGTTTGTAGATTCTTAAAAATTTTGTTTTAACAGTTTCCCTGTCCGCGAAAAAACAGTAGTAAGAGGTCTTTTTGACTGGATACAAGGCATTCCGTCTTCGTTCTCAGGGGTGACGCATCTGCATTTTGATTCTTAACAGTTAGCATTCCTTTTCTAACAAAGACTTTGAATTGTTAGGTATCACCCTCTTTCCCATTATTGCCACCATATCGTGTTGTTCTACCGCGTACTGATCTGAAGGATGTGTAGAGTCAGAATAATGTGCAGGCTTTGAGATATTCGATCTTAGTCCTCAGGAATGACAACGCATATGTCGCAACGCGTCCTTTGTTTTAAGTTGACTGCAGATGAGCATGGGTACGCAGTAGCCACTTACCATTAGGTGGATTCTTAATTCGTTTGTCACTTGAATTTTGTGAAAAAGCAATTAAGACCATTCGTAAGTTTTTTCTGTTTCAAATACATATATTTTTTGTCTAATGTATTTTTTGACTTTGACAGACGAATTCATTTCATTCGTTATTCATGCGTTACTATGCTTTAATTAAACCGTCTGCACTTCAAACGTATAACCTCAGTCTCTTTATTTTATAAAATAAGGGTGACAAATGATCACACAGTCCATCTGATGGTAAGTGGATGCTGTGGCTCATAGATATCTACATTTATCCTTTGTCCCCCATAAGTACTAAGATGGAATGCCTCCTTTGCAGTCAAAATAGTCTCCGGTTCTCTACACTCACAATACGTAACACAAAGCATTAAGAAGCTTTTTTACGCTGATGTTCCGTTAGAGCGTGGTCCTACCCCGGTCGAGCCGACCCATTTGTGGTACAACCATAATATAGCTATAGTGTGGCTCTACCACGAATAGAGCTTTATGTCTCTATGGAGTCTATAGCTGATTGGGAACAATTTAGGGATCATGATATTTATTTTTTATCTTATCAAAACTGATTTAAATATTAATCTAAAGTATTACATAGCCAGTAGATCAATTAGAAGAGAACTGGCTAGTACTATTTCGATTTCGGATTTTTATCAATATAATCTTAGGACTTCCACAGATTTACTGAATGGTTATTTATCTCAATCTATTCTAAAGATTAGAAAGTAATTTCTTATAAAATTATAGTTTAAACCACCTGCTCCAATCATATATTTCAGCAAGAATTTTTTATTTATTTACTAACACAATACAGTTAACAGTTGTGGGGATGAAAGTTTCTTAAAATTAAATGATTAAGTACTAAACCTTAAGCCAAAACTTGTGTTTATGAAGTACTTTACAATGACTTACATCTGCTGAAGTTATAAATAATTTAATAAACAGTGGCCTTGCAATCAAGCATCCAGCAGATTACAAGAGCCCTGTTACAGATTTAAAGCTAGAACAAAAGTGAGTAGAAACATACAAAAACAGATGAGACTAATTATTTCAGAATATCACAGTTAAATATATTGAAGTCATTTGGATTTGAAGCTAGAATATCAACATTTGGATAGTCCTGGGATATATCATTGTAGAGGCGACACATCCTAACCACTGGGTTGTAATATGATGTGTTGGTACTCGTAGTTCTTAACAATGTCATTCATGGAATAGATTAATGAGTGATAGACGTATCAGAAAAATTAGATATCATTTACATACAAATATGTAGAATAGATCAGAATCATTTTAATCAACATAAATTACAAGAACACTTATTGAAAGTAATTTTTTATTTTTATCACTGGTTCGGAAAAAAACCTCTGTCCTGGGAAGAACCAGCATGAAACCCAGCGGGACTTTTTTCTTAAATTAAATTTATTTTAAATATATTATTTTATACAATTATTATAGATATTAAAACAGCATGTTAGCGATCACCTCATTCCTAGGGGTTATTGTCAATCATGTACTTTTTAGTAGCATAAGAAATAAAAATTAAACAAATTTTTATTTCTTATGCTAAACAATTTTTGCTTAATAATTAGAAGAGAGAAGAAATTTGCGGAGAGAAATAAAACTATTGAATGCAGAAAAAAGACGAGACGACACGCCATTCTCGTTAGTTAACAAAGGAGAATACCATATTCTATTTCACGCAAACTCTAGTACGCAAGCTGCCAGCAACTACGCAAATATCTCTGAAACTATTCAGTTACCGTTACTTTAGTAACCGTCAAGTTTTTACCCATATCAAATCTCTCTCTCTCTCTCTCTCTCTCTCTCTCTCTCTCTCCTTCAGTTAATGATAATAGAAAGAGACAGTACTAACTAGTACTTAAAAGTAAGCAAAGCAACGGTTATGAGTTAGGCCGTAATTCTCCTAAATATAATGGTCGTCGAGTGAGTTATGCCCATTGAAATTGTACAAAAATACCAGTAAGTTCAAATGGAAATGGATTAGCCATAAAACTCGTAAGAACAAGCAACCATTGCAAACGTAGCAAGACAATTATCACCTAAGAATCCTATACCCCATAGATAGCTGCAATTATCCTTTTTTTATAGGATAGGGTGACAAACAAGCACACAGTCCACCTGATGCTAAGTGATTGCGGTGACCTCTACATTTATCCTCAAAAAAGAATCAAATTGCAGATGCGTCGTCACCCGTGAAGACTAAGATGGAATGCCTCTTTTCCAGTAAAATGGGTCTCCGGTTCTCTACACTCACCATACGAAACACAGCAGCATTAAGCTGCCATTTTGGGCTGGTATTCTGTGGGAGCGTGGTCCTTCCCCGGTTGACCTGACTCATTCGTGCTACAACTATACTACTAATATAGCTGCAGCATGGCTCTACCACATATAGCTCAACAAACGAAACTGCAGTATTATGCTGCTATCTTAAGCTGGTATTCTATGTGCAAGTGTCTTCCATCTCCGGTCGAGCCGTTTCATTCATGTTGCAGCCATTTATTTTCATTGTAGCTGCAGCATCATTGTACCGCGTACAAAAAGCTAGTGTAAGCAATATATTATATGAGATTAAATATTATTTTATTTTAAATCAATATGTTTGCACCCTTTCGCACAAGATAGGCAAAACCCATTGATCAGAACGCACGCACAAAATGTTCTTGGAAGTAGCAATTTCAGTGGCAATTTCACTGTCAGGTGATTGATCTTTGTACTTACTGACAGTGGTTGAAAACATTTTTTTTTTAATTTGACTGGCATGTAGGTTTTCTAAGTAGTTTACCTTTATTACCGAGCAAGCGACGTAAATAATAATAATAATATAGATAAAATAGTAAGTAAATATGTACTTGCAGCAGGAGGTCTCCTTCTATAACAATTTAGTAAATAAACATAGAAAATTGATAAATGAAATAACAATACTAATTTTAAATAAGCCACGTGAAGGAATAACATATAATCCAAGTAATGGAACGAAACCAACACGCAAAATTGTTTAAAAGCATTTTAGTATCGCCAACGGGATGTACAAAATACACGCGTGCTACAAAAATGAAGGCGAGACTTTATAGACACATAGCACCAGAGCTATTTTGAGAATTGATTTTTAAGATACTTTATAATAAACAATTATAATTTAATCGCCGGGAAGAAATATCGACGTTTGAGTTCTCGATATTTAAGCGATAACCATATAATATTTCGATAATATAAAAAATTAGATCCTTCATTTTCTGATATTAAGCAAAAATTTTTGAAATAAAGTAACTTTTCATCCACTGAATGTCGCACGCTTACTATGTGCTGAACAAATTGCATGCAGCAGATCAGCGAGCGCTAAAAGCCTTTTATGTCCATTACAGTGAACTAGAAGGGCTGTAATGATAACAATAATTAATTTTAAATGCCAATGCTTTAGGTTACATTAATGAATAATTGCATAGAGTCACTACCAATAAATTTTACAATTTGCTCCAATTTAGCTTGCGTTATCATATTAGAGTTATCAATGCTTTTCAAAACATTAGCAAACAAATGACACTATCTAAGTGGTTTAAATGAAATACTAATGAATGCTATACTAGTTTGCATTGTTTGTAAATATATATTTCAGTTTGATTCAGCTTACTGAGTAATTGCTGACCTGTATTGATAATTTCTAATGAGATTTACACGTGTCATGTTTGTTTGACCTTAACGTAAACTAATCAATATATAACTATAATCAGCTGGTACTCGTAATAAAATTCCCTCAGCATAACTATTCACTAGACTAAATTTAGCTGCGGGACTGAATCGACGTCCTACAAAAATATCAAATTGTTCAGTTTTTTTCTGCAAAAGGAGATCTGCCACATCTAATTTACAAAAACATGGCGGTACCATTCATATGTAAGTAATTCTTTATAATATTAGTACTATTTGTTTCTTACCAATTTGTAAATAGTTATAGATAAAAATGGCCAATGGCAAATATGGTCTGGTTTATACAGCCATATCTCCTGTTCATATAATCATTTTTGAGATTATGTTTTCTGATTTCTTTAATATACATATATAGTAAGCTTCATTATAACATAGTTTAAATTGCATCATATTAAATATAATACAATACTTACGAGTATTAACACAATTATATTAAAATTACTAAGTGTGAATTAGACCATATTGTTTTTTAAATTTATTTATTGCAGGTTTCTTAAAGATCAGAGTTTAAAGGATATATGAAAGAACTTTTGTAATAACAGGCTTACCTCGCTTCCCACAAGAAACAGTGTGATTTGATCAGATCATTTCCGGATCTCTGACTTTCAAGTGTTAGCGAACAATAGAAGGCGGTTGGTCGAGGGCACCAAGCCAAATTTAATACCACACTGTATTTGTTCAATAAGCTTTTTTTATATCATGGAGAAGGCAAACTAGCGTACACTATCTCAAGACCAACAAACATTGAGGACTAAGCTGTAACGCCCCGTGCCACCCGTAAAATGTTGAATATGTAGTATAGTGTAGTGTGTAGTTAGTCATAGTTGTGAGATGAAGCTCAAATATCTCCACTACGAAAAATGTACAATGTTAAATATAATTTTCTGCATAGAAAGATGTTACAGTTAACAGCATAATATAGATGTATAGCCTATTATATAGCCCATTTATTTTTCAGGCATAGTCAAAGGAAACATCTGAAAATTAGAGAAAAGTAACTAAATGTGGGCTAGTACTTTAATATGGGCTAGTAAGAGTTCTAGAAAACAAATAATTGAAAGGCGCTGTAAACGAGTATCTTCTATGGCATTCATTCGCCCTAACACCGCATTCACACTATCTCATGATTACGGCGCGAGTGCTGCTAGTGTAAGACGTTTTTGCTTCACCGCTGTCAAAAAAAGTCGTAAGGTACATAAAAATATGTTATTTTATTTACATAATATAATATACAATATTAAAAACTATAATAATATAAAAATATAAAAAAACTAAAACTAGAAACTTAATTATTATATAGTCCTACTCCCCGTGGTATCGTACCAAGAACGCTGACTGCGTTTCCTCGCTGAATAGCTATACTTAGCCTTTGAGCGAGAAAAGAACCAGCCCTCTTATCACCAGCAGCAACGACCAGCCGGGGATGGAGTTCCTTTAGGAACTTCACCCCACGTGAACCCCACGCACCGATAGTCTCTACAGCAAATGGCACAAATATGTAGTAATCTCTCAGAGACTCATATTTGCGCCACTTACTCAGTTCAGCTGCTTCTGATGCCTAAACGAAGTCTAAACGAGGTACCCCTGAGATGAGAGGCCGCCAGAGTGTCTACGCTAGTAGCATCCCACACTAGGGCTTTATCTCTCTTTCAAGGGAACAATATCATACCGTCGGGTCTCCTACCATCGTCTCTAAATATTCCACAAGGCTCTAAAACCGAGGGAACATTTATAGAGACAAGAGCCTTTCGGATGACATCGTTCAAGGAACTGTGTCAAAAAACCTACCAGCACTTTTCTTACATGAAATTCCGTGGAGCCAAAACTTGTCAACGCTGCTACCACAGGGGCACCGATCGCCGGATCGGGTTGCCAAATCGCCGTTCCTAGTCGGATTCCTACGGCAATGCGCAAACCTTCCCCATCAAGTAATGTGCCGAGATTACTTGATGGTAAAGCGTGTAACCAGTGACTAGATTCCTTAGTCGAAACAGCTAGAAGGCGTGCCTTATCTTGGTCACTATGGAAATTATGAAACAAATCTTTCTACACGCCCTGTACCAACGGAATATCCCACTGTTTTTGTTGGTTAACTTCCAGTGGAATAATTCATTTAGGAACTTAATCTATTAATGATAATTAAGGCTACATAGTGTAAATGTACATAATGTACATAATGTAAATGTTTTATTTGTAGAATATAAGTTTACTTTTATTTTTTTCGGCTGATAATAATTTGTTTGTTATGTATGACTTGTGAAGTACAATGTCAAATTTATTTTGATCAAGAATTTCCAATATGGGCTATCACTATGGCCCTAAATATGGGCTAGCACATATTTAGGTACTAGCACTTAGGTGGTTGGACATTGGTTTCTAAAGGAGCTTTAATGTTTTTTTCAGAATGCCACCGTTACAACCAAAACAACCAAGACAAATTGGGATGAAGAATAAATGGTTAAAGCCATAGAAGTGGTTCAACAAAATGGGTACCCTAAAAGCAGCAAAAACTTTTGGAGTACCAAGAACTACTTTACAGCGCTTAAGCATGAAAACTGAACATACTTCTGAAGAAGCGGCTGCTACGACATTACGAGTATGTAGAAAAACAGTGTTGGGTACACAGTTGGAAATTATTTTAGTGGAATATGTTTTAACGATGGAAAGCAAATTTCATGGACTGTCAAGGACAGATCTTTGCAGAATGGCATAGTATATGTTGTCAAAGCGTAACAACTTGTAAAATCCATTCCGTGAATCAGGCGTAGCAGGAAAAACATGGTTAAGCCGCGGGGAATCATCCTTCGTAAGAATAGGTGTGTGTTTGCGAGGATTTCTAGTCTATCAAATCTAATGTAATTTTGAACATGTTCACACACTGTAGACTTACCGGAACGTCGTTGAAAAACATTTATACTTTTTATTTCCTTAAATATTATACTACTGAAGAGTACATGACTGATAATAACACCTGGGAATGAAGTGATATCACTACCATCCTGTTTCTAAATGTTTTCATAATAATTGTATAAAATATTATATTGTAAATTGTCCTTTATAAAAAAGTCCCGCTGGTTTTCTTGTTGTTTCTTCCCAGGACAGGTTTTTTTTGCGACCCGTGGTAAAAGTAAAAAATGACTTTCAATAAGTATTATGTACTATAATGTATATTGAATAAAAATGATTCTATTGTATTCTAGTCTATTCTATAAAAGATAATTAAGTTTATATTTATAGCCCATATTTGAGTACCTGTTCCATATTTAGTCCCCATTTTGCTATTTTGTTTAATGCTCAATTTTGATAGTATTGCTTATTAATAAAAACATAAGATTGTTAATTTGCTCTTTAAAAATATATGCCTGATTGTTATTACATTAATAAAAAGTTGATTTTAACTGGTTTTTTATTTTTGATCCAAAAATAAATGGTAGCCCATATTTAGTTACTCTCATCTATAATTTGATTCCCACCATTGCAGTTACATCAAGAAAAAGAAAAATGCAGCAACAGCTATATTATCACAAGAAAATATTTAAAGGCTCCAAGCTGGTTTAGCTTGGAGTCTTTTAATATTATTGAAAGGAAAAAGTTGCTGGGTTGAAAAACTTTCTTCGGAATTCGGATGAAAAGTTTTTGATAAATATAGAAAAACAGATGGTTTTTGAAAAGTTGAAGAAGCAGGACTTTTTAAGCGTCAACTTAGGAAAAAATTTAAAAAGTGGGAAGCTCGACGAGCTAAGTATTCACCACAACTGCGATGTTTTGCTTTAACTCTCTTTTTTTATACAATAAGGGTGAGAAACGAGCACACAGTCCTCCTGATGGTAAGTGGTTGCTGCGGCCCATAGACATCTACATCTATCCTCTATTACAAATCAAAATGTAGATGCGTTGTCACCCGTGAGAAATAAGATGGAATGCCTCATTTCCAGTAAAAAGGGCCTCCGGCCACCTGCACTCACCAAGCGAAACGCAGAGGTAAACCTCTATTTCACGCTGGTTTACTGTGAGGTCGTGGTACCACCCGGTTCGAGCCGGCCCATCCATGCGACAGTAAAAGCTGCCGCGTGGCTCTACCACTGTTCAAATTCTAAAGTCTCTATACCGATACATAAATATCTTTCTTATGAAAAAAGCGAATAAAAAAAATGCATTTGTTTTATACCTATATACAAAACTAATTCATTTTAAAAACCAGTGACAGATAAAACTAATACTGTTTTTAAAATTATATAAACATTAAGTTTATTAGTTAAATGATAGGTAATTATAGTAATAATGGCTGTGTGCAACTTGTCAATATAATTGCGTCACTTCATTACACTGTTATGACACAGAATATAATCTATGCTGTGTGAAATTGTTAATGTATTATGCCATCAAGAACATAATTTGTAAAAAAAGCCAAGTCTCACAACTCAGTTCTTCTACCGTAAAAAAATTGTGGGATCCATGTAATACCAAGTCGCTTATTTTATTCAGTCCCTATAAGGGCCCTTCTGTCTCAAGTTATTACGTAATTAGCTAACCTAACAACATCTTACAGTGACCATATCAATATTAAAAATCTTTTGTGTTTTTAATACATAGAGTGACTTGGCAATCGCATGAAAACACAATATATTTCACAAGTAATACATATTATATTAAATTAGATTGTTTAGTGGCAATTTAAATTTGGGGGCACTACCGTGCCCTCAGATTTAAATTGTTATGTGTGAGTTTCGTAGTGACAGACGATTATTTTTGTGTGGGAGTTTCAGAAAGTGTGCGTGGCGCAGATTTCCCCCGCTAAAAATGACAGACAGTTTGGTATCGGAAAATAACGCTATGGCTTCTCCCCCTCCCGTGTTGCTCTGTCTAATAACGACGTAATATCAATATGTCAATATGATTCAATACGTTTTTCTTTTATTTTATACTAGCTGGTTTTGTGTTTGTTTTATACCCGCGTTGCAGCCGCAGAAGAAATAATTGTGGAAATATCGTCTTAAATTTGGAAAAGTGATATTGTGTTATTAGGAATGATGATATAATACGTTCATTGAAGTTGAATGATTTTAACTTTCAAATCATTGAGTTATAATGTTATAAATCAATGTTTCAAATAAAGTACAATGACAGACTTTCATACATAAAAATAGTTGAGAAGAAATTGTAGCATCTATTTAATGAATGATATGAAAATATTGCACGCTTAAATTTATTTATAGGCAGCTGTCTGATCTGTGGTGGCAGCTCATTAAAGATTGTGGGCGTTATGACTATACAAATGAAGTGTTTGGGATGGTGCCACTCTCACTATTGGTTTGGTTTTCTGTCTTGGATCCTGTTGGAAACACGTTCATTTATTGAAAATAGATAGGAATGTCTCTTAACAAACAAACAAATTTCAAAAATATAAAGGCAGGGCAGTGGAAGTAATTTTAATTTTTGAAATAATGGTTTACAATGATCTAAACAATCAGCGCCACATATAGTTCTAATATATTTTCTTTGTGTTTTACTAATCTTTCGACCCTCTGCGGTTTTCATCAAGTTGTCACCCTCTGATGCTTATCGATAACTTTCTTCCCCATCAGTTGAGTTCTTATTCGTCAATTCGTATCAGCCATATTGCCGGCCTATTGCAAATTCAGGCTGCCAAGCCATTGAGCTGTGTCAGTAACTTTCGCTCTTCTGTGGATGACCTCGTTAAGGATTTCATACGTCAATCCCCAGTATAGTTCCATGAGTGATTTTGCGTTTCTTCGTTTGGGACTTAGCTGACTGATAAATAATGATTCAAAATGAATACTAATTTTAACACCACTAATATTCCCGTTCAGCGCACCAATCAAGCTTAATAAATAATAATTTATGGATGATAATGACCCCTGAGATTGAAATGATCGCTACCAATATTACATAGTTATCAACGAAACAAATTTGTTTTGTGTTGTAAATTATTGTGTAAAATAATAGCGGTAGGTTATCCCAATATTGGCTCTTGTAAAATTTACTTTAAATAGTCAAATTACTATATTTAAGTCCCGAAAAAAATATATCTCACAGATACATACATCCTTTATTGAGTGATATTAACGGTTCAAAACACGATGCATTGAAACAGTGTCGATCTTAAAACCTTTTTTGTTTTACATCGTAATTACACCACGAAATTGTATGCCAGGAAATTAATCCATGCACATGCACCGTAATTCTAAAAACTCACAAATGGGATGCGGGAAGCAAAGACTGTGTAAGAACCTCTGAAGGAGGCGGAGTTATAGCCGAAAAAAGTATTTTCTTCCAAAAAATAAGAATTTTTAATTTTTTAGTTTTTGGCCATTTTGACCCCCAGGAGTGTAATGAGATCTTTTTGCCCCTATTCAACCATGACATCCTCTACATGATAGGCTATTCAAACTGACTAGGCCTAAAGTCCCACAACTCATTTCTAAAGTCTTTACTCCCAATAAGTTCTACGAAAACAATAGTGCATTAACAAAAATGGTGCATTATTTTTGGTCCGCATATAGAAATAAAAATATATGTCCGCAATTTGCTTTGCACAACCTAATTACAATAGTTGATGAGACATCGGTGTAAATAATACCTCAAAAGAAAGGCCAATAATTAAGTATGTTTCAAAAAAGGTTTGAACAACAAAAGTTATTTTACTTATTTTGTTATGATGGCATAAACACAAATATTTTATATATAATTAATAGCGAAACTGGTAAGATCAACTCTCGCAATTCAAACTACCAGTTAAGTGTTAGTAACAAATTAACCGAATCAGATCAGGACGTTGCAATGGTTTTTGAAAAATATTTTACTGATATTCCGATATTAACCACTAAGTCACTGAATTCTTCTCCTGCGGTCGCCGAATCATTATTTAAACAAAATGTAAATGCGTGTACAAAGAATTTTGCATTTCATAAAGTATCATCAAAAGATATTGTAAAATATTTTAAAACTATTGATGTTAAGAAAACTGCGGATCTGTGGGGGATTTCCGTTAAAGTTATTGCGTCTATAATAGATACAATCGCGCCTCATTTAGCTATTATTTTTAATACTAGTATCGAATCTGGTGTGTTTCCTGATTTAATGAAGTATAGTAAAGTAATACCTTTATTTAAATCTGGTAGTACATTAGACCCCGCCAATTTTAGACCCATTTCTGTACTACCAACACTTAGTAAGATTTTTGAAAAAAATATTCTTGATCAAATGTTAAATTACTTTAATATAAATAATTTACTTCATAAAAATCAATTTGGTTTCACAAGGGGTCGCTCGACAACTGATGCCGGTGTTGAGCTGATTAAATATATATTTAATGCATGGGAGAATTCACAGGAAGCCTTGGGTATACCCAAAGCATCCTGTGAATTCTCCCATGCATTTTGTGACCTATCCAAAGCCTTCGATTGTGTTCACCATGAAACATTAATCAGGAAACTTCAACACTACGGTGTAAGAAGTGATGCTCTTAAATTAATTATTTCATATTTAAGTAAGAGAACGCATAAAGTTGTCATTAACAGTATGAGTTCTTCCGGGTCGATGGTACAAATGGGCGTGCCTCAAAGCTCAATTCTCGGCCCCTTTCTGTTTCTTGTATACATTAATGATTTACCTTACATAGTAGGAGATAACCATGATATAGTATTATTTGCAGATGACACTTCTCTAATTTTCAAATTAAGTCGACAATTGCTAAAATATGACGAAGTAAATAATGCTATATTTATATTAGTAAATTGGTTCAATGTTAATAGTTTGCATTTAAATGGCACTAAACGAAATGTATGAAATTTATGACTCCAAATGTCAAACAATTAAACACTAATGTAATTTTAAATGGGGAGAAACTGAGTCTTGTAGATACCACCATTTTTCTTGGAATCACACTAGACGCGAAGCTTCAATGGAGCCCCCATATATCAAAGCAGACTTAGTTCTGCAGCATATGCCGTAAAAAAGATTAGAAGTCTAACTAGTGTTGAAACAGCTAGACTAGTTTACTTTAGCTATTTCCATAGCATAATGTCGTATGGTATTTTGCTATGGGGACACGCAGCTGACACTGAAATTATATTTGTTTTACAGAAGAGGGCTATAAGAGCAATTTATGATTTAAAACCTATAGAGTCGCTGCGACAAAAATTTAAGGAAATTAATATATTAACTTTGTCCTCTCAATACATTTATGAAAATGTAATGTACGTACACAAAAATAAAAGTAATTTTGCAAAAATAAGTGATATTCATTCTGTAAATACTAGGAACAGACACAAGCTAGTAGTACCAGTTACTCGACCCCATCGAGTCAGTAATTCATTCTTGGGGCGATGTATACGCTTTTACAACAAAATTCCAGAAAATATACAAAATTTTACCTGTTCAAAGTTCAAAAACTTTATTAAACTAAGTTTGTATAAAAGGGGTTATTATAATATTAATGAATTTATAGATGATAATAACCCCTGGAAATGAGGTGATCGCTACCAAGCTATTTCTAATTTATTGTGTTGTTAATTTGTGTAACATACATGATTGTAAGCTGTTATTTAAAAAAAAAGTCCCGCTGGGTTTCTTGCTGGTTCTTCCCAGGACAGAGGTTTTTTTTTCGAACCAGTGGTAATCATACAAAAGAGTGACTTTCAATAAGTATTATTTATAATCTATATTGAATAAAAAAGTTTCTGTTTCTGTTTCAAACTAATTTTTTTTTGGCTTCTTAAACTTAAATATGCGTAGAATGTTTTTCTGATGATGAAAAAGCTTGGAAATTATTTTGTTTGAGTAAAATAACAACTGTTACTGGACAATATTAGCATTTTATTGAAAAAAAAAATGGTTTTATTGTTAAAAACCTTAGAAATTCAATTAAAAAGGAGCAGACTGCGTCTAAGACAAGTTTAGCTTAACATGTTCTAAATGATTTAAGATATCAACCCCTTCAGGCTTTGCACCCATCTTTCAAACAGCCTGTATAATAAGAGTGAATTTCAATAAGTATTATTTATAATCTAGATTGAATAATAAAGTCTCTATTTATTTCTATTTCTGTTTCTTAATATGCTTATATTAGTATAGTTGTTGGGATGGCGGATTCGAATCCACTACTGTTGCAGTCTGTACCCTAACCATTAGGTTATTCTTGCTTACAACTAAAGGCAATTATAATTTATTCACTGATAATTTAATTTATAATTTAAGACTACTTACCAGTAATTCGCTGGACTATAGAAGTCATGGCCGTTAGGGTTGGTGCATAGATAGTTAAATGCGGTGACATTGGCCTCTTCAGTTCCATGTTCTTTAGGTCATGGGGCTTGTCTGGTGGAGCCACATAGGGCTTATATGATATGGAGTGTTTGCTCCCTCCTGTGTTTCCTCCGCCAGCTTGGCCACCGCACGCTGACGTGAATGTCGTTACTGCTTGGAGACAATGTGTCACTTTATAGACGCTGAATCTGAAAATGGAAGACTGCTGACTGCTGTGCAAATAAAATTTACACATACATTGTCAAACGTATCCTATAAAAAACCGATGTTTCTAAACTACGTAGTTAATATAATAGCATTCTTATTGTTTGAGAAATTTTTATAATAAAAGTTTATATGAAGAAGGAGTACAGAAACCTAAAATTTATTTATATAACTAGATGGTACGCGGCGCATTGCTGCTGCAGATATTTCTTTTTTCTGAAAATATCGTTTTATATTTAAAAGATTGTTTAATTAAGAATGATAACACATTCATTAAAGTTGAATTAGATGTAGTAGATCCAAACTGCTGTGTAACACTCACCATACGAAACCCTGCTGTGTTTCGTATGGTGAGTGTAGAGAATCGGAGATCCTTTTTACTGGAAAAGAGGCATTCCATCTTAGTTCTCACGGCTGATAATGCATCTGCATTTTGATTCGAAAACGAGGATAGATGTAGATGTCTATGGGCCACACCAACCACTTACCATCAGGTGGACTGTGTGCTCGTTTGTCACCCTATCCTATAAAAAAATATAATATATAACTTTCAAATAAATTTGTCGATACCATACGCGCTCCACCTACTGAAAGTTAATTGTACTATGCTTATAACCTCCGAGCCAGTGGAAACAATAAGTTAACAAAGTTTTAGCGCAATCTGATGAACAGTATAATAGCGCATTAAATAAGAACAAACAAACATTAATTTTTGTATATTAGAATATGCAAATACATCAAATTAAATAAAATGATTGTTTACGTTCATACTGCCAGTATCAATTGTTAAGCACATAATAGTCTCTGATCAAATCGCACAGAGTAAATCATTAAGGTAAATGCACCTTAAAAAATTTAATTGAGGACTCCTTTAAAGTTGTATTATTAAGAAATGTAGTGAGAAAAATATGTATAAAAATCAACTACTAAATCAATGATAAATTTCATTTCTAACGTTATTTGATTTTCAAATCTAATATCTCTATTCTAAAGCCGATATCGATTACGCGCTCCTGGCGTGCGCGCCATGAATGATCGCGCCGACCAGTACATTTCTTTCGAAGTGTATCAAATAAGCGGGCCTGGCGCGCACGGCAGCCGTTCCAGTGTTTGACGTTCAACATGGATATATCGGTCGTATACGAGCAGCTGCCGCTTTCATAGTTTTCTCCATGCATCTTCTCTGGGCGTTTACCGACTTCAATATAAATAATTTATTGTTGATTTTTTTAAAACCGCTCGACCAATTTTGATAAAATTTAAATGGGACTACCTGGAAAGTATACTCTTTTAAACAAAAAAGATTTTTCCAAATCGGTTCAGGCGTCTTTGAGTAATCGGTGAACATACATAAAAAATAGATTCCGACGAATTAAGAACCTCCTCCTTTTTTGAAGTCTGTTGAAAAACTAATTTGATATTCCACAGCAGATCTTTGGAACGATATAGTTTTATCAATTTACGGCAACTTTGGTTGTCAACACACGAATGATGAAAGCAACCGTCCTGACTGGCGCGCGCGCCAAAGAAGGATGCCCATTTTTCACCTGACTATGTATAGAAATGAAATAAAGCTTAAAATTCAGCTAATTGCATTCTAAATTAAATACGCGTATCACAATGTTAAAACAAACGCAGCAGAAAAATATTTTGAACGCACCTTAACTACCCTTTTTCTAGGACGTTTCATTTCACATACTGCTAGGTGCTTGACTTAATTGAACTCTGTTTCTGAGTTTTAAACATTATTTTTATTTAATCAGTAAGTATTTGTTAATATTCTTATATATATATATATATATATATATATATATATATATATATATATATATATATTTTATATATCTCTTTATTACTCTTTGTATAGTACAGACGATTTAAAAATAATATAATAAATAAATTAATCATGCAGTATGTCATTGAGTGCACACGAGCGAAACGGATTTTTTTGACATTTGATAGTTCTACAATTGGCATCGGCGCAGTACTTCGTTGTTGCCAAATAGAATATAATCACTTGTTGTGTTTGCGTTTCGTTGTGTATTGTGCCATTTTGTGTGTTTTCCCTGGATCATATAAAATAGACATATGTAGGATTTTTCTCAGTATAATCTCAGAGGAAGTGGTGATAGAACATTAATAAGAGATATAAAAATTAAGTATTTGGTTACGGCAAATCCTAACCTAAAGAGTAACGTTATTATTTTTGGGCTTCGTAGCGTTTAAATCGTAAAAATGACTACATGACATTATTCTCTAAACTTACAGGAAGTTTTTCTACTGTACCTTATAACTATACATAAACTTTTACTCCCAGATTTTTAAATGTATGAAAAGTGGACATGGTTCTTTAACTAATTTGATACGCGGTAAAAAACCGACACCAGATGGAACGGCCCGCTCCAAGTTTGAGCGTTCCAACAAACAATTTGGCGCGCGTTCCAAGACGGAAATGAATACATTTCGCGCGGCTGGAACGCGCGTCAATGTTCGACCTCTTGGAGCGCATAATTGATACGCCGCTTTGGTACTAGTGCCGGAGCCTGTTCCTTCTCCAAAAACTTCCAAAAATGACAAGCTTCTATGTCGGTAATATGCCCAGCAGTAAATACTGTTACTTTACTATACATTTTTTTACAAACTACCTTCATTAAAATTTATATATATTTATATTTTAAGAAAATACGAGCAATGCTATACTACATTACAAATATTCCCTTTAACCTTAAAAATCACCATTAGGTAAGCTTAAAATGCTTATGTCAAGAGTGGAGGATTCGATCCCACGACATTAAAGTTCGCCGCCTGCACACTCAACCTTTAGGCTGTCATCACTTCCAATAGTCGTGTCATCAGTGGCGAATTATCCTTAAGGCAAACTAGGCACATGACAAGGGGCGCAAGATTCAAAGGGGCGAGCGCGGAAGTTCGAAGTTTTTCTTGCTTAAAGAGATTGAAAAAATTTCCTCGCTCAACGATTAAATTCGTTAGGGATACTGATGAATCAAATATCCCAAAACAAAAATGCAGACGAATACATTTTTAACAAAAGTGATTGGATAAATATTTTTTGTTGGTACCTACCAATTTTAAATAAACAATTTTATTCATAACATTATGTATATTTATTGAGAGCATGGGTATTGCGCCTACATGGTCACAGATCAGCACCGCACTACGTTGAATTCGGACAATGAGGTGGGTGTATCTGAAGATGGTGACATGCGTGTCCTTGATGAAGACGTTCGATTTTGCATTACATTACGGTACGTATGGCTGAGCGCTGCGCGCTTATCGCCCTCTATCGCTAAAACGGTGAAGCGCATGGAAAAATGATTCAAATAAAATCTGTCGCACTACAATTTTTGTAATAAATGTTAACACCATTAGAGCAATAGAAACAGAGATAATAGCAGAAAAACTGCTATTTTTTACCTTTGACCTTCAGTAACTTAATTGAGACTTTTGAGACAACTTTTAGAACGCGAAACTGAAGGTAGAGTAACTAAATTAATTTAGAAATGACGGTGGTTGTTCGAGTTCCAACCAATGGTAGTTTAAGCATTCTAAATATGTAAGGAAAAATTGGCAAAATAAATGGAGTACTTTTATCTATCGGCATATGTACGTTATAGAGTGAAGTAAAATTTTATATTTGATTTAAATTCGATCTCTAAATTGTAGTTATCGAGGGTGAATGGGATCTATCAGCTCCCGCAAAACACATTTCTGAAAAAGGTATATAATTTTAAAACTGCGTCATCTCTCTCAATTATATAAATTTCTACGTCATTTGGCGTCCAAATAACAAAATAGCAAAACTTTCGTTTTGTTAACACTAGTTAGGTCGTAGTAGACTGAGTCGAATAAAACATGAATAAGCACGCTTCACCGCGCGTACATATGGGGGTGAGAGTCGTCCTCCCGCACCCCACAGGGCAAAACATTATTCAGTGAGATGCACGATAATTAATAATAAAACGTGCGTGTATAATAAATACGAAAAGTCCTTTGGAACATCGTGTTTTATGAAAAAACTACTGCATGAATCAATTACAAAAATTTCGCTCAATGTTCAATTATTGAAGAGTTTTTATTAAATTCTTTGATAATTGAGCTTTGTCGGTACTGACTGTGTTGGAAATTTTGCACTTCATTCATTAATAATATACGCCCAAAATTGCGCTAAAATTTTCAATAAAAGCAAATATTTGGTAGCTTGTAACTTTTAATGGCTTTTTATTTTACTATTCCGTTTGAAAATTAATAATGATACAAAACGACATCATGTTTAACTTTGGATGTACAGAGTCAAACAACGGAGTAATACCCTCCCGAAATTTTTATGGAAAAAATGTCGACAAGTGTCATCTCATAAATATTGACCCTTAAAGTAAGTATAACATACCTCCTCCCGGGTGAGCTCAACCCACCGCGCCCAATAAAGTGTTCCGAAGCGCGGGTTTTTTCACTTTTAAAGGAAATCGTACTAGGTATATGAAAAGTGTGCAGGTAAAAATAATCCTTGATTTGCTATCAATCTTTTGTACATAGAAAAGCGATATAATTTCTGCGCTATCTGCCACAAAATATGAACATTTTTAAATGATACTAATTTTTACGGATTCTATCGCGTTTAATTAAACTCTTTAATTCCCAACGTTTCGGGTGCTTTACTGCACTCATGGTCCCGGGGGCACTGAGGTGTATGACGTCCCGATGTCAAAGTTAACCTGGCTTCATTCAGTGTTTGAATATTAATTTTAGATCCGATCTACGCAAAAATTAAAACAATAACTGCCAGGCATCGGAGCGCACTCCCCTCAGCGCACTCCCCTCATCCCTAAAATGCACCCGTCAAATTAAGTTTTATTGAATCGTTTGAATGGTGACTGACGTGTTTCGTGATAATATTAAAGCAGCCGTCAACACACTGAAAAACTCCAAGCGCTACTACAGCGCTTCAAAGCGTCAAAGCATCTAG